TTCTTGACCTCTCGCTTGTCCCAAAAGTTCTACCAGAATGAATCAACAGGTACACACACACACACACACACTTTTTAAATAGGTTAAACAGCAACCTGCTGGACGTAATGAATACTGTACAATGTACATAACAATATACAGTAACTCTCTTTCTGCTTCACATGGAAGGCAATACATTAATCAAATATGTGTGCAGCAAGTTCCAGTTTAATTTATAGTAAAGTGCTCTTTTACACAATCACCATGATGTGGTTTAACTTTCAGGGAAAATGAAAATAGAAGGAAAGAGGAAAATGCAATGGGTGATTAGCCGGAGAAAAATACACTGCAACAGAGGGGAAACAATCGAGGCAGCAAATGTTACGGGGAAAAAAAGAACGCTTCACGAGGAGGCACCAGATTGAGAAAAACTAGGTGTAGATGTATCTCAATCATCCAGGTTGTACAATGTTGAGTCAAAATTGAATTATTCAGCGCACTGTTGTAGAATTGTACTACTTATCTGAGATGTTTTATCTGTTCCACTGTCTGATGGTTTTGTCCGAAAAAAAGATACTATATGTCAAACTAAAGAAGCTATCTCTTGACTTTGAATATGTTGGATAACTGTCAACTGCTTATATCACTGATTTAGTTTTTGTGCAACACACAACACACTCGATAGAACTAATAGTCTAGTTTCAATTTTAGGTTGAATTTGTCAAAAAGAAACCTGTTAGAGGGAACATGCCACTGATATACGTTATTGTCCTTAAATTTTAGCATGAATATTATCTAGAAAGGAGCTTACACAATGCTGTGATTTTTGATCGACACTAACTTTAAAGTAAGGTTCAAACAGAGCCAAAAAACAAATTCTTTATGTATCACCTGCCAGTCGTGTGAAGTTGGCAGAGTGACAGAACGCAGAACTTTGACACTAGTAAGCAGGATTCACATCCTGTTTAATGCAACAACAAGCACTTTTATGAAGGATCAGGGAAAGATTGTCTCTCAAATGTTAAAGTCAAAACATTGTGTGATGTTCGTCATGTCACTTTATTTTCTTTTTCTGCATTTTAATAAGGCCAGCAGGGACCTCTGTTGGGTCTCCCTATAGTACCTCTCTTTCTGTCATCTACAAAATGATCACTATTAAATAAAGGCATAGTAAGGCTTATAATTAGAAAAAAGTAACACAACAAAAGTATTTTAGGAGACATCACTGGAAAGCACATTCAAATATGGTGGTACGTGTATAAAAAAAGCATCTTGTAGTTGTGTCTGTAAGTGGTGGAATTACATTTTTAGATGTTAATTTATTGATGTCTTGTTACTGTTACTTTTTACATAAAGTAATGTCTTTGTATATTATGTAGTTGTGTTGGAGATACAAATAAGACATAAGGTTCACTGTGAGCTAATGCAGTCTCACTTTAAAAAAACACACGGCGAGAGAGGCATCGACACTAGAGACACTTAGAGAAGCCTCCTGCAGAGGTCTATTGCCATTGATGGCACTACAACTGCCATTAGGTTTCTGGTTAATACACAGCTGCCATCTGGTCCAGTGTGCACACACATAAACACAGATGCACACTTGAAAAGGCATTGATCATATTAGTCATTTCAGACACAGGGTTTACTAATACACTGCCGACCAATGGTTTTCCAAGTCCGTACAATCGAATGTGCACGCAAACTCACACACACACACACACACACACACACACACACACACACACACACACTCTGTGCTAGAAGGGCATTGATCGTAAGTAACCAGGGGGTTTTGAGACTGCATCAGAGAGCCCTCTTTATGCTCTGAACTTGTCAGAAAATCTGGACTATTGGTAGTCTTTCTGAAGTAAAATATGATAATTAATTTAGCTGCTTGATTAAATAACAGCTCAATGAAAAGGACACTGAAGGAAATGTATAGATATAAAGCTGTTATTTTGATACTCTGGAGGCTGGAGTTATTTACTCAGTGGAGGAAAAAAAATGAAGAGTAGTAGAAATTATTAAACACCAGATAATTAATAAAAATCTATTCTGATCTCAATCAAAATGCCGTGTGACAAAGAGAAATGAATACAGGTAAAATATAAGAAAACAATGTTATTATCTAACACACATGTGGAATTTATTGTCACTTCTTGTGGCACAAAGCAATTATTACACTCTCTGATTGTGAGGAAGAAGAAGAAACGCACTTTGATTTTACTTTCTATCAATTCTAATCAGCAAAGTTGATGAAGCTTCAGCGAGTGCGACATTGATCAGTTTTCAAGATGTGCTGTTTGTATGTAACAGAGATAACCAAAATGTAAAGCTAAATACATTTGTTAAGCTCAAATGGCCTCTCCTTGTGTCACCAATATGTGGTTTTCTCATTCTCCTGCCCCCCCCAAGAGAGGAACTGTACACACATGCACACAGACACACTCAGGGCTGTTTTTTTTTCTTTTACTCAGAGCAGAGCTGGTGCAATGATGAGGCCTCCTAATGTATGTTAATCTCATGATTGCCATATGATTCCATATATGGGTTTAGAGTCATGCTTTAGTCATGTTCTTACGCGATGAAGTAAGATTATGAGAAATTATTCTTATGCAACATGACATTTTTTTTCAAATTGCGACATGAGCACATGTGAACTGGGTAGTATGGCTCAGACAGTAATACGGGAAAGGTATTTAAGATGAAGCTATAGTGTAGCTCAAGCCTCAATGTGTTTTGCATGTGCTGTGCCGCATTGCACATGTATCTGTGAAGCCATCTCTTTCATTTGACAGTTAACCTGCACTGATCTCGTTATTGTTTTTTATTGAACTCAAGGTTCAATAAAGAGTTCAGTCCTGATTTATTTGGCCACACGTTTGGTTACCATGTCAGCAGCAAGAGCGGTTTAATACAACAGCAAACATTCTTTGTTAAGCAGCTAGTTTGTAAAAAATACGATGTTTTGATAAAGAACGCAGTCAACAATGATTGCAAACGCAATTTCTGATTTAAATCTGAATTTAAATCCAGCACTGCAATGGCAGACTACCCCACTGCCAATAAAAACAAAAGAGATCATTCAATATAAATACTGTACACTGAAGGTCTGAGTTATACAGTTTAATAAGTATTGTAAACATCCAGACAATCTGCTTAATAATGTGAGGCTCATACGATTGACAGCTACCCCCACAAAGATCTATACACACCCACACTGACCTGTAAGGAGGGTTATTTGTACCTACAGGGCTGCAGTGCCCACTAACTGCATCCAACCTTGACCGGGCAGGTGCAGATGGCAGGTTGCAATGCAGGAGACGGGTAGACATGCTTAGAATTGTAAGAAGCTGCTTGTCTCCGACAGTTGGCTCAGCTGTCTGAATAAACAAGTATCCTCTAGCTTAGAAATAATATCATAATCACTTCTCAAAAATCCCCCAATTCCATATCACACAAGTGTTGACTGTCTGATTCTCCTATCACCTGGGATGGATTTGACACATTCAATCACAGGTTTTTCTTTCAAGAATTATTTTTCCCCCAGAGACAATACCAGCTGTTGATGACGTGTAAAAAGGCCAAGCAGAGCTAAATTGGTTATCAGATGATTCTGTTGGGCAGTGAAGACATCTTTGATTTACTTCTGTAATCACAGAGTGATGGGCCTTTATCTGGCCATATTATTTGCACCTTTTGAAAAAAATGTAAATGAATTAATAGTCATCTGCACTCGTCTCTGGTGGTATTAAAGCCACATGTCACTCATCACAAGAGCTGGGAGATATTCCCAACCTGTTGCCATGACAACTTCACAACATATGAAAACTCCTCAGAACCAAAAATAAACAGAGCTTTCTGAGAGATTTGGCCAATAATGTTGCCAGTGCGTTGTTTTTTTTTTTGCACATAGAGAAAATGTGGACACTCCCCCATGACCACCAAGGCTTAAAAAAAATCTTAATGGAAAGACATATAAGTGCTCTATGGTAGTTAACCACGTCTTTGTCCTTTCTTTTATGACTGAAACAGTCCCCGATAAAATGTTCTGCTGCTGTTGATAATGTTGTAACACAAGAAAGCACCAATTCATCTATTCATTAAAGTTCTTTAAATCACATACACAGGTCTACACAAGTCCAACTTGCCCTTGCTGTAGTTCAATCATAAACATGATTCTCTACACAACGACCTTTATGTAATATGCTATCAACCGTTTCAGTGACAACATATCGCTGCAATCACACCACTATCAAGAAGAATTATCATAATACCTTGAAATGCTCTTTCAACCCATTGACATTTGTTGGGTGTTCATTTTAATTATATTTAGACTTGGGATGACAATATGCTGTATATGTGCAGTAGCATGTTGTGCACACAAAGCAGAAAACCTCCCTGTTTGTTTATGGGATCAACTCAAATTTTCCTTCCTTCTACTTTGAAACTTTTACATTTTTCGAAATGCTGTAGTGGTTTGATAGTCACCAGTTTAAGGGGTGCCAGTCAATGAATTCTGACAAATGTAAGGAAAGTAACAATTTATGGAAAAATATCATATCCATAGAGCCACTATATAAATATCAGCAATGAAACAATGTGGCTACAAGATCAGCACATCAACGCGGCACTGAAGCAAGTTGACAGACAAGCAGTGAAACAGCCATAATCTCATTTGGCCCAGGCCGAGCGAACCCAGCAATGGCGCTGTTCCACTACAGATGTCTTTATCATTTCAGCTGATTAGACTTTTACGACTGGATGACTGGCTAATCTCCATTTTTATCATCTATCATCTGCTCTCATCCTCATAGCAGCGGCTGATGCCTCCTTATTAACGCACACACAACTGCTCACAGACACACGCTGACCTTGACTAAAACAAACAGGCACAGACATGCTTTTTTACTAATACTCCTCAAAGAGTCCATAGCAGTCACCATTAAAACTGTAATAAGGACAGACAATGAAAACTCACAGACAGTCAGATCATAAATTGACAGTGTAGATAAACAGACCTGTAAACCAGTGTGTCATCCCCAGAGCTGTTGTACTGGACCTGGAACATCCTGACTCCGGTTGAAGAAGTCTGACTGCTCCATCTAATGAGGGCCGAGTTCCCTGTCAATTCCACCAGTGAGACCCTCCGGTCTGCCCCTCTGGTCTCGTTGTTCGGCAGGGCAACCTTAGAGGAGGTTAGGATGTCAGAGGGGGCAGGTTCAGATGACGGGTCTCGGCTGCGGCTTGTGCTGTTCGCCAGATGGGGCATCACCGTAACAACTAGCTCCACCCTTCCTGTGGATTCACCTGCTGCGTTGGAGGCAATGCAGGTGAAGTTACCTGAATCCTTCAGGGATGTTACGTTGATCTCCAGGCTTCCATTAGAGAAAACCAAAGTTCTGAAACAGATTGAGATGTATCATGAAGTGAAAGAGTTCAATGCATTAACTGTAGTGTAAATGTTACAACAAAGTAACAACTATATACTGTAAAAAAGTTCAGGCAGTTGACATAGTCAGGACTTCATATGAGATTGGACAGGCCTTTGCCTTCCCAAGTAATTTCAAACATATTCACTTCTGGTTACAAAATGATCCACCATTATTCTGTCACTTTCAATTTAAGAGGCAACTCACTTCTGGTCCACATATCCCAGTCACAGTCACCCACACAGGAGCCAATTGGTAATCACTGTTCTTCTTATCAACCCATTAAGTCACACCTGTACTTTGCTGCCTCCAGTGACAGCCATGTTGAGGGGATAGTTGCTGACAACTTGTGGGCTTCATCCCCATAAGTGTAAGCCTACACCAAATGGTATTCTTCAACAACCCAACAATGCCTCATTTCCATGAAATCGCTTTTACTGAACAAAATATCTAAAGATGCAAACAGAAATCTCAAATCAAAAATATAAAACTTCTGTCACATATTTCAAAATACTATCAATCCTTTTATAACATTTTTTACAGGCAAAGCCATGACCTCAACAGCTACCTTCTAATCCTGATTCAGAGCTGGCCCACACAAGCCATGTGCCTACGCCCTACTACTACAGCCAAGACAGAAATTATGTGAGACAACCCCGTCTGACGTTTTGACTCGGTTGCACATAGCGCTGAGGTGAAACAGTACTGGGAGGAATATTTAAAGGGCCGCTTTTCTTGCACCTGCCAACTGGGTTGGGTTTCTGATATCATTGAATATAGAGCTGAGTCTCATGCCCTAAATTAACACCTGTTCTTTAATTTTGAGAAAATATACAATCAATACACTTATAGAGAAAAGTAATTGTAAATTATAAATCAAACCACAATATAGAACTGTATAGAAATAATCTTTGTACCTGGAGCTATTAGATATAAGTCGCCCTTCAGGGCTGATCCAGTGGACTTCAGGCTCTGGGTCGCCATTTGCCTTGCACTTCAGGCTGGCAGGCTGGCCTTCCATAGCCACTGTATGAGGTGACTTACGGGTCAGAACTGGTTGGTCACAAATGAACTCCTAAAGGGAAAAAAAGTATGAGGTCTAGTATGATATTTAAATTATATAGTTTCGAGGTTATGATTCATTTTTTATTAGTTTTCTGCAAGCGAAAAGCTTAAAATGTCACCTCTTCAGGTATTGTCCAGAAGTACTTGGCACTGAGGTCAGCAGGAGAGGCGCATGTCTCAAGATCGTCTTCTCTGGTCAGTCTTCTCAACCATAGAAGTTCACAATTACAGTGAAGGGGGTTGCCACCAAAACTCAACACCAGGGAGGTGAGGGGGGAGCCTTTGGACTTGGCATAAACTGGGATTCTCAGGAACAATGGGTCCGGGGGAATTTTCTTCAGCTTGTTAGACGTCATGTCTAGCCTGTTAATGGATGGGGTAAGGAGGAGATGAGGGTTGGATTAAGAGAGAAAGACAGATACATTATCAGTATATCAACAGTTAAGTTGATCAGTAAACCAACCTATGCATCTTTACATTATCTGTTCTCACAACATCAGATCACCAATCAACATACCTGGCCAACTTGTGTAGGTTGGTGAATACCCCTTGGGGAACATTTTCTATAAGGTTATGATCCATATTTAGGGTATTGACGTTGGTTAGGCGCTCGATCGTGTCCCAAGGCACTTGGGCAAGGTTGTTGTAGCTAAGGTCGAGATCCTCCAGTGTGGATAGGAAGTCATCAAAGGCATGGGGAGATATGGAGTGGAGCTGGTTGCTGGCAAGGATCAAGTGGCGAAGGTTGGTCAGGCCTTTGAAATGGTCGTCCTGGTTGGTGAAAAAGCAGAAATGCTCAGAGAAGCATCACATAAATATCAGAAAGGATATTGTATCAACTGTTCTGTTATATTTATCTTTCTGTCATTGTAGCTCTAGCGTTTAAGTATGTGTATCTATTGACCAACTTAAAGGCCTCTAAGTCAGTTTATCACTGCAATAATCTATCCGACTATTCATTCCCATTTGCCATCATTAATCCATTCCATCAGTCTCACCTTTATCACAGTTAATCTATTAGAGTCTAGATGAAGTGCTCTCAGTCGCCGCAGGTCACAGAAGGCTGAAGGGAGAATCTGACTGATGGTGTTTCTGGAAAGGGTTAGATGTAGCAGGCTGGTCATGTTGGCAAAGTCCCTTCTTCGGACAGCTGGGAGTGAGCAGAATGAACACAAAGAGATGTTCCATCAACTGAGTCCTAAGTGACTAGATATATTACCTTGGTACAGTATTAAGTAGGGCTTGGTATCGTTTAAAATGACGATGCCAGTATCATTATCAGTAGCTTTAAAGTGATACCAATACCAATAGAGTACTTCATTTGATACCCATCATGTAAATAAAAGCTTTGTGTGTCACATTGGCTAGCTAATTGCCACCGCTCTGCACAGTGCTTATACAGCCCACGGTTATTACTGGCAATGTCGTCCCCCAGCCCAAGGTGGCGGAACCACATTGTTGTGGTAATGTAACCCACCCTCCGGTTCCCCCGCCAGGTTAAAGTTTTGTCAGCACTGTTGCTAGCTTTGTTTGCGCTGTTAGTACCGTTAGCTGCTAGCTTTTCAGTTGATACCTTCAAGGTATCTAGTGCAGATACCCAGCCCTAGTATCAGTGAAGGAATGGACATCAGAAAATATACATATGCAACAGTGTTTGATTGATCTCTGAAAGATGACTCTGGTTCTTAATGTTCCTCAACTTTTTATAAAATCTTTTTCTAAGATAAGATTGCAAAAATATGTATAAGAAAAGTTATAACAAATAAATTGGTTGACCTTTCTGCTGAACTAGCTGCTATGATCATATTTGGCCATGTGCAGACTATTTTGTTTAATATTTAGATTAGCAAGCCCATGCCCAATTAGCCTCTTAGAGCCTGGACCCCATGATACAAAGGTTGTTTAAATTCTTTTAAAATTAACTTTTGGCAACATACGCTAAGAACCACAGTTGACAGCAGAGAGAATCTGTTCACCCCCAAAATGGAATACAGAATCAGAGTTTAGCACAGGATAGTGCTAAACTTAAACTAAATTGATTTGGACATTATCAATGTGACTTAAATAAAGTAATATTGTTAATGGTGCATTAAATCATCTTACTGGACCTTGTGAAATTTGTCTTTGTTTAGTTTGTGTGTCTTTTGTTTTAGCGAACTATGGAAAATAATTTATTTTAAATTGGGTCTAGGAAGATTAGGTAGCTGCCTTGGTGGGAGCGAAAGGGAATCCAGATTAAATTAAAAGGATAAAGCCACACTTCGGTTCTTAAAAATAAGTATGTTTCAAGTATCATAGATAGTTCTTTGATGTAAGAAGATGAATCATGAATGAGATTTGCTCAACTGAACCACAAAACAAAAAAGTTTCAAAGTATGAAAGTTAAAAAGAACCAGACTCGTGAGTAATAATAGTTCAGCCAACATTCGTTTTCAGTGCTATCACTGACTTGTGACCCACTCTCCTTACTGCATCCAATGTTCCATTTGAATCACAGTGGTATATTTAAGCTTGACACATTGCTCAGTCTTTTGCAATCTTGCTACTGCTCAATATTATAGTATGCAGCATGTTCTCTCTTGAGGTAAGCATTCAAGATGATGGTTGATGAGGAAGAAGTGACTGAACCATGCAAAATGCCTTAATTCCCTGCCTTGATTCATGTTTAAATGGAATACAAGACAGACTGGCAGGTATCTTACCTGTAATGAAGTTTTCTTGGAGCCGTAGCTCCACGGTGCGCCGGTCAATGGCAGCAGGAACAAACAGCAAGCCTGTCTTGGAGCAGAGAATAGCGAGCGATGGAGAAAGGCTCTGGCACATACAGCGTTTCGGACACGGCTGGCCCCTGCATGCTGCTGCCAGCAACAGCAAAGAGAACCACAGCCGTTCCATTATCCTGCACAGGGAACAGGGCAACTGGAAGACAGAAAGAAAAGAGCAATGACTTTGAGTGGGTACAAAGATAGCCTTCCTCAAGAAAGGGCAACTGGCAAAGAAGAAAAAAAAGAAGAAAAACATAGATGTATAAACATTTACAAATATGTAAAGCCATCTGTAGACTCAACAAAATAAGATGTTCTTTATTCTATTATACCACAAAAACAAACATGAATGCTATTGTTGGTAGCTTCATAAATTGGCTAACCACAGCTTGTTAAAGATAGCAGATTCTTCACATGTAGAATACAGACTCTGTAGGAACCGGACAAGATTGTTGGCATTGGAAGTGTTCTGGTATCTGTTTGTAGTCCGAGTAGTAGTGAATGATCACGTTTGAGCTGTCTTTGGTTGAATGCAAGTAAACATTCTTTGTGGAGATCAAAAGAGGAAGACCGCATTGGCCGAAATGCAATCTCGGCCAATGCCGACTTTCTATTGATTTAAAATTAGCTTGCAAACTGGCTACTTGTGAAACAATCCAGTCGTACATCTCTCAACTTCAACTCCAGTCTCAAATCTTAATTTGCTTATTGGACTGTAAACTTGTTCATAGAGTTCTAAAAGCTCTCTAATGTGCCACATCAAGTTTACTGCAAATAAATAAATAATGAGTAACAAAAGAACCTGTGTGGTCCTGTAGATTTTTTGACATGTATTTTTTTTATCTTGTCTTTTCATACTGATACACATTGAAATAGTTGCTGGGGTGAGAGGTAGATCAATGCACTGTTCAGGAGCTGGACTAAATTACCCAATGCTGTGAGCTCATAATGGGCTTTATCATTGTGTGGCAGCATGGTGAGCTGGAGCTGGCATTTTCCTGAGGCACACTGGGGTATATGTTTGATATTTTGGCAAGATGTAATATAGGTGTGGGGTGTCAAAAAAAGGAGAGGTTGATATCTGTAACAGTCATACTTGTATCTTTCATCCACAACAGCTTGTATGCTAAATAAAGGCTTATTACGAGCACACATCCCTCTGTGGTCGTATCCACATCAAACTGATTTGTTATTTCTCAGTATTTTGGACTAGTTTGGTATTTCAAATTAACAGTGCTGGGCATGATGACACTCTCAGGACTCGGGGGACACACGCACACTTTAACACAGTTCTATCAAAAATTGTCAGAGAGATTTTTCTCTTTCCAGTTTACACCACTTAAACCCCCTCAGGGACATCCTTTCCTCACTCAGTATCTGTTTCCAGCAACACCTGTCTAAGTCTTTCCAACTGGTGTTGCGAAAAGTTGTACCTGACGCATCACATTTACAATTGCAGGAGATGTTGACCTCCTCTGCGATTACATGATGTGATAGAAAAGAACTGTGTCTGCTCACAACTGTATTGGTGAAATTGTAGCTGTGCTGGGCGGCATACAAATTCATTCCGTGGCCGGCTTTAATTCCGTGTGCCGTGAGCACTGCGGTGGGGACGACTATATGTGCATTGAGAAGGGACCCATATTAACTGTGTACCCTTCTCACTCATGGTTAGACATTTATAACACAACAATTAATAACCTACAACAATTTGTAAAACTAATAGTTATACATTGTACACCACCAAATTGCATGCTGGGTAACAATATAGCTGCTAACTAGCAGAATAACATTCTGTTAATAGCTGGGAGAGGCTTTGGTCGTTATTGCACATTCAAGAACAGAAAAGAGAGATAGTGGATGAAGAAAGACACACCGGATATGCACTAGAAGAACTTGTGTCCAAGAGAGGAGCTGTATTTGTTGTTCTGAAGCCACTGTTGTTGCCAATGCCAAACAGCTATATCCCAACATTATACCAACAACGCATACACACATATACGTACAAACATATAGTTGCCCACTTTTCTACAACAACAGAACTCAGTTTTACAACTTCTGCTCGCCTATTAAAGTTTAAATAGACAATGTTTTTGACTTAAAGTTTTGCAATAGTGAGCCAGCTACATCTAATTAAATGCAACCTCAACAATTAATCAATTAAAAAAGCTAATATATCAACCTTTTCTTAGACCACATTCGTATTTGTTCTTGTCATTTAGAATCGGAAATGTGGTTGAGTGTATAATTAAATGTGACAAAAATAAAGGATTTTTTTGACCTGAGCTGTTGGGCAGCCACTAGCATGGTTATCATAATTTGGAATTTTAAAAGTTCAACTTTCTGAGACTATCACAATTTATTTTCTTATTCTGATCTTATACAAATAAGCAAAAACAGGTAATCACAGGGATCATCCATTTGGAATTATTTTACCTGTTTCATTGTTGAAGCCTTTCGTTTTTCTTAGTTCACCTTTCGGTGCAGTCAACAACTGTTGCATAGCACAATCTTTCATACTTTAGCCCAAACAAATTGAAGGTGTGACTCAAAAACCATGCTTTGGCCATCTGCTGCAAAACAGTAAATAAGTTAATGTGTCACAGAAGTCATTATGGATCATCATTACGATCAGTTGAACCAGGCGGGTAAATATGGAACCATTTTCACTTTTAACACAGCATACATGGCCTCATAACTCATGGTGGGATATGTGTGTGTACCAGTGGGCAGAAGTATATTAGCCTGCTCAGTTTGACTCCCAGGCTAATCAATAGCACTGGACTTGTATTTAGTAGGTGGCCTGTGTAAAATACTCCTCCTCCATTCTGCTCCTCCCTTGATACTCCTTAAACCCTCAGAACATTTTTATCAAGGTATGACATTATTTTTCAGCATCACAAGATAAACAATACCTAGTGTTGCCCTTTGTCTTAGACTCCACTGTTCATCACCAATAAAGCTAATCTGCCAAATGTATACAAACAAATGAGAGTGCATGCAATCTTATAAGCCTACTAAATATAGATTTGCTGTTATTTGATACTTGATGTTCTCCATCCTTTCACAATGTTAAACATAGAGCAGAAACAATGATTCGTTGTAACTTACAAACACACAGAAAAGTCTGTTCTTCTATCTGCCTTTCCATTTTACTCCTTCTCAACCTTTTTCTTTGTCATTCAATATATTTCTCTCCATTGCTCTTGATTATTCCCCTGCCGTACCTTCACATCGCCGTTTCTTTCATACACCACATTAATCACCCTCTTTACACTCGTCTCACTCCATCATCCCTATTGTATACTCCTCTAAATACAGTACATCCCATGTTATATAAAAAATTTAAAGTCATTTGCAATTTCCCAGTCGTATCAGATTTATATCGCTTGACCATCCTTCACCCTCTATGATATGCTCTAGCTGTCCATCATTCTCTGTGATTAATGCATTTCCGTTCCCCCCAACTCATGTTCCCTCTTCATTTCCATCATACATTCCTCTTCTTGTCATCCTATTCCTCCCTGCCTCTTACCTCTTCTTCCTTTCCTCCTTGTCCTAAACCTTTATTTAAAAACCATGGTTCCTTCTTTTCCCGTGGTCATTTATCTTGCAGGCTTCCTTTCTCAGGCTCTCTATGCTGTTCCTGTTTTTCCTCACACCATGCTCCTCACGCTGTCTCACTCACTTTTGTGATGGCTTTATTTTAATGTATCTATATTGTGTTTATGTTGCAGAAATAGGTACCAATGGTGATTTGCAATGCACACCTCTCTAAGTTTGTTCGCCCACTCATCCGGCTTGCATGTGTATAGCTCAACTCAACAGCATAGTCATTTAATTATGGGGTATGAGCCTAAAATGAGAATTGTACCCCCTTCTGCTGCATGTGTGGGTGGCATAAAGTATCGGCAAAACAATGTGGGTCACATTAGGGCTTATTATAATTACAACCCAAACAGGGGCGATCACAAATCCTTCACGGAGCTTTGTTAAACCCATTTTTGGCCAACATACAACCCAAACTGTGCCCTTGTTGGATAAATCTTGGGGCAAAATAATGCAATTATTATACGGTATGTTGTCCTGATGGCCTCATATTAAGCTAAATTAGAATCCACTATCTAACCATCAGGGCAAAAGATGAACATACTGACGAACTTTGTTACCGTCCATAAATCAGCAACACTTTTAATCCAGTTGGTAGCCATGGAAATTAGGATACTAGGGATTGGATGGTGGTGAGAAGGGCAGCAATAATTTGAAAAGAACAGGACTGAGGCTAAGCAGGATGTGCCACTAACTATCTTAACCCATGCTGACAGACCATGTTGTTTCAATAATATGAAAAAGAGCAAATTCTGGGAAAAACAAATCTATTTAGTAAGCTGCATTCGCGCATCTTTTTTATTTGAATTACGAAAGCTGTCAATCATAATGCATCAGTCTTGAAAAAGTTTACAGGTTCAAAGAAAACAAACAAACAAAAAAAACACCATCCCGAAAAATCATTTCAACCGTCCCTAAAGTCAATGTTAACACATGTTGCTCAACAAATGACAAACTGCCACCATCACTTTGCTAAATGTCAGGTCTTTAAAATTAAGTATAATGTTTATTTGTGTCTGAAAGTTGGAGGTAAAGGACAAAAAGCATCCAGTATACTTTTGCAGTAATAACACAGAGGAGCTCTGCATTGATATTCATTTTCTACAAGTGGCTGTGCAAGCTGCCAGAACATTGGGGAATGTCTCCAACAGTGGCAAATGTTTATGTTTTTGTATGATTTTGCAAAGTAAGGCACAAACACACACTGACAGTCTCTTTGTTTTGTTTGACGGTATGATCTGCACTTTGCATTTTGTGCATCAATCAGCTTCTCCCAGGCAGAGCATTTTTCAATGTGTTTAGGGCAGATATTTTACCAGGCTGGGATGCTACATTGCTGCGTTTGTGTGGAAAATGCTAGGATTTGAATGTATTCTTCGTTCAAGAGAATGGTTATTAGTCATGGGAAGAACATGTAAGGGATACACAAATGACTTCAAACACAACTAAAGGTGTTATTGCTTTGGAAGAAATGAAAACAGTTGTCTTGCCTTAGTTATACTGAAGGGTTCTGAAGAAATCAGTAATTAGCTACACATACTGCAA